CACGAAATTTGACTTGGATTACTGCTTAAGGTAATAATATAATCTCCGAAAAAAATGTTCAGATCGGATTACTATAGCATATAGCTTCCATACAAACTGAACACATAATTACTAACAGAAATGCACCTGTGAAGGGTATTTAGCTTCGGTGCAACTGAAGTTAACGTTTTTTCTTGTTTTATATTAAARTTTACCCATAATTTAACGCACTGTATATAAGGAATAATAGTAATTGAGCTAGGACATATACTTACATAGGTATTGAATATATTTCAAAATGCTCATATAAACATATTTTTTATATGTATATCTTTTTGTATATATGTACATATATATCCAGGCGCGATAAATTTACTCAATACATTTTAATTTTGCAGTGTCATGCCAGTTCGTCATCTCACCGTAATCCTATGCGGTTTTTTTAACACTTGCAATTCATTATCTTATAGAAATAAGGTTGATAACAAAAGAAATATATGAATAAACACACATATGGCTAGCCATAATCACAATGAATATTGCTTTATTACTTGCAAACAAATACAAAATTGCTTCAGAATAAAGTTGTTTAAAAATGTATATAAGTAATCGTATAATAATCAACTAATATARGTATTCGTACATACATACATAWTTGTTTGTGTAAAAGGGTGCACTCTATAAAACGACGAAGTTTAGATTGTTTTCGTATTTGCTTGTTTGTAGCCACTTAACAGACTTAATTACAATCTTACGACTTGAATTATAATCAAAGCATAAGTTGGCCGTATCTTATACAATATTATCAATGATGATTTTTAATGTTTCCTACCATATTTTCTGTTTAAGGCAAAATGTAAGTCACTTACGTTTTTTTACGAATTATAATTATTTATATTAAAGCTTTGGTTTTTGGTATACGTTTCGAAATAAAATGGCATAAGCGTAAAAAAGTGCACATATTATGCGCTTATAGAAAATTTTGTATTCCTAAGTTTTTAATTTATTKATATATATTAAGAAAAGCATACACTACAATTATTCTATAAATTAACTAATATAGGCATAACTGAAAATTTGAAATTCACAATTTAAATGACCCTCAAAGCCAAACTTGAAAGATTCAAAAACTAACGTAATATGTTATTTTTATACGGTATAAAATTGATTTTAATTTAGAAGTGCCGCATCATGTCGAATATATGTAAATAAAATCCCATTAATTAATGTTCACATTTGGGATTAGAGGTAATCAGAATTAACTTTTCAAGTATGTCGATTAGCAAAATATGAATGGGTGCTCTGGAACTTATTTTTTACTTAAAGTCAAGGGCGTGTAAWACTTCAAATGAGTTTTCTCAAAACTATGTTTTTTCAAGTTGTTACCAGACTGTAGCTCGAAAACCGCTTGGCATGAAATTTATGCAACTCTTTGGAAGCATGAAAAATTACTACTTGTTCGAATGATTTTTTTTAATCTCGATTTTGATAGCCTTTAGCTATTGGTTTTTCCCCGAAAATCTGGAAGAATGATCTTAATGATGCCATTTTGTTTATTTAAAAATTGGTTTTAGATGATTAACGATTGGAACTATGTAGATCAACTCCAAGAGTCATTACTTTTAAATGTGTAAATACTCCGAAATTTCATAATACCTTATATAGAAAGTCAATAAATATTTTGTGAAATACATAAATTAGAACATCGCACATGAATTGCCATTAAGTTTTGCGAATTGTTAGAAAAGATTGCATTACATCAGTACATAAGATGAATATGCATTACCTAAGTTTAAATATTTCTAGAAAAATAATAACAACAGCCATGCACATTTTTTTGTGTTGCCCTGGATATGTTAGCAAATTTTGATGCCCAATTACGCGTTTATTGTTAAAAGTATTAAAAATGCTCCCATTTTTATGACTTATTGGCTTATTGGTAATTAAATTTATTTTTTTTAGTCACACTTAGAGTTCTGCGCATCTCTTTCGCGCATACAAACATCAGCTTACCGAAAAAATAGGAGCGGAAGGTTTTAAAATAAAAAAAAAAAACGTAAAGATATCTAGAATTGCAGTCTTCAAAATTTCCGGTTTAGTAAATGAAATTCCCCGTCACGTTTTTTCCCATGGGCTACTCAGAAATAATAATATCTCCAAATTCACAGAGGTACAGTCTACCAAAATTAATTTCTCGTATGATGGAACAATCCGTCAAAGATTTGGACGTGGAAGGATATTGTTTTAATAATATTTCACGACAATTTCCGAGACTTAATAGGTTGAAAGATAGAAGATTTAATAATAATGAAAGTAACAGATTTTATCAAATTTTTTACTGTCCTGGAAAATGAATCATAGAAAAGTTTTATAATTTAAGAAAATTTCCTAGGTAAATTGATACTTTATAATTTTCATACTCTACGAGGAAATATGACTATCTCCGCAATCATCTGGACAATTTTTCGGATAAGTTAGGAAATTATAGTGAAGAGAACGGAGAGTAGTCCCACCGGGCCCTAAAAGTGATGGCAGAAAGCAGCCAAGGTTGATAGGATCGTCAAATGATGGCTTAATTGTCCTAAAAAAGTTTTTTGGCTGGAATTTTTTAAAAGGAAWGCTCATTAAAAGAGTTTTGTTGAAATGTAACATATTTCCGAAATTTGTGTCTATACTAAACAAAATTGAAATTATTTATATCGTCACCTGAAATGCGAAATAACGTATCATCAAAAAAATCGAAATTGAGTGTCTTATTGATTACGCTTCTCTACTCCAAATTACATACATAATATTACATATGTTTAACATTTTCAGGTTCTACCCTTAGATATAAACCAGTTTTCACTCATGTTCCATTTTATTTCCTTTTTCATTCATGCCCGATATGTACATAGCACGATATGTACATAGTATACATATACATATGTTATTTTGTTTAATAAACTGAGGGCACAAAATACAATATCCAAAATCGTTTTTTTAACTAGGGCAACGAAACCACTGAAGACCAGTGTAACTGCTGGAAAAAACAACGGATATCAGGAAGTTTAATATGCATTACTAACAAAATTTAGTGATTAAAATTATAAAATTATATTATTAGCGTGCGCAAATAATTATTACATAATAACAATGTGACCAAATTTTGTATCCAGTTTAGATTGCTTCACTATTACTAATTTTCAACAATGACTCAAATTTATTTGTAATACAAAGAAAAAATTATTAATAGCATAAGTTTTTTTGTATACAATTGTACTTTTTTTAAATCGTATAATACAAAAATATATTTAATTTTTATGCAGTGGAAGTGTTATGAAACCAACTCAAAGTCATTGCAGCTTACACATTTGACTTGTAATCCTATTACGGTTTGCAACTGGACTCAGTTCTACTAAAGTTAAAGCACTAGGCTTGCAGTTGGCGCTGTCGGCAAATTATATGTTATATATTTCTGACTTTGCCCACGACAATGGGGAGCCACTAATATGTGAAATGTAAAATATTACAAATGCTAGTAGTTATAACGCTATTTTACCAACAGAAGCATAAATAGCTTTGATATAAATGTTGGATTGATAATTTAAAACAAAAGAATTATTATTAATTATTTGTGTGAAGTGTAGTCGTCTATGTTTTTAAAGCATCAGAACAACCAATTTTTTTTTTTTTTGGGCATTACGAACAGCACCTAATTCACGTTGAATACTTAAAAATTTGAGACTTGACAAAAAATTAAGCTGCTGAAATTTTTAAATAAAAATCTTTAATAATTCAATTCTGTTAATGCTTCCGGAAGGGTGAATAAATATTAAAAAACTAAGGTGTTTTTGTATATTGCAAAGAGGCAAATTTTGAAGTCATAACTGATGTGCTCTCTTTCATTGAATTTCATTCTTTGCATGAATTTCAAATGAATGTTTATAATATGTTCGAAATTTTGAATCTTATTATCTGTCTACCGCATGTAAACTGCATTACCACAAGATAAATTTAAGATAGATAAAACTGATTTTTCCCCGATTTCAGTTGATATCCATAATACCGAATTTCTAAACTTCAACAAAAATACAGAAAAATTGAGCTGCAAACCGTAGTCGGGGCATTAAACAACATAATTTCATAACAAAACACTGATTGAATTAATTTTTTCAATTAAAATTTTTGGTTTCCAAAATTATGGTTATTGTTAAAACTGCATATGAGTTATGCATTAGTAGTAATAGTAATAAAAATGGATTGGCATAGAAACTATAAATTATAATTAATAGAGTTTAAAGTTAACTTTAAAGTACAATACACACATATGCTCTGCTATGTGTCTCATTTGTTCTATTTTGAAGTAAAAATTAATTTACCTTTTGTTTATTTGTTTGTTTCTAAACAATTGACCGTTAGTTGTTATTCAAGCAGTTTAATAATTGTATTATCTTTAAAAGCTTAAAGTTAAATTATTTAAAAATGATATTTTCTTCTAATTATGCGCTATGTAGTGTATATTTGTAAAAAAGCTTCCTAACTCTCCTAGAGTGTTCACTTAAATTATGTCATTGCTTGTGATATTTGATGTTAAGTTGTTGTTGCACTTTCATTCAACATACTATATATATATATATATATGTGTGTGTGTATTAATTTAATGAACGTACGTATATATGTATATGTATGTGTTTGTATGAAATTTGAGAATATCATAAAAAATACTAATTAGTATGGACAAACTAATGCAATTTGTATATTCAGCATTTGTACATTCAGCGCAAGAAAAATTATCATAAAAGTTTAACAAATTTGTTTGTGTGATTTGCAGAAACATCTACACGTGTACACACATTCCGGTGCATACGTACATTTGTATGTATGGTTCTCGACTAGTTTTTGAGGATCTCGAGGATTAAAGCCCATTTCTCAGCTTTGTCCCAATACAGTTATGTCATCTTTTTAGCCCACTTGAGGTCATCGTCGCGTGCCTTGCAGCCTGTACAGTACTCAATTATAGCCTCTAACGTGTGCCAGAATCTAATTAAATGAAATTTAATACAAAACAGATCGGTTGAGGGTAAGCTATTTTGAACATACTTAATCTTTTCCAATGGCCAATTCAGCCACCCCGTAGTAATGCAAAAATATGTCTCATGCGGTGCTACGTGATGTATACGGTGATGTTTTCGTGGTAATACTATGTGATAGTTTTGCAAGAAGAGAACCCATCTCGGTAAACCCCAATAAGTATGCGACCATTTGTGAATCTGTAATATATAGGAAATACTGAAATACTGAGGGATATGAAAATATCGATAAAAATGTATAACTTCTGAAYACATTGAGGAACATACATAAATATGATCGGAGACCATCGCTTGTCAAGTCATATCACTATTAGAAATACTA